TCCCTGCTCTGTGAATGTTTACATGTTATGTTCAATTAAACCATGGCAACATGTAATGTTTGTGCATTATTATTTTCAGCAGACTGTGTTTTTCTATTGTTGTGACTTAGATGACGTTCAGAGCACATTTTATGACCAATTCATGCAAAACTCTGTGTTATCCCAAGGGGTTCACATACTTTTTCTTGCAACTGTAGGTAATCTTTCAAATAGTCATTAAGAACTTTATAGCAATAACCAGCTTCTTGGGTTGCACTCAGAAGCCCATTGTCAACCAGGAGACCTCACAAGAGGAGAGGTATCACATGAACATAGGAAGGCAGGTCTGCTATTGTCTGAGCTGCTGCATTCTGGACCAGTTCTAGTTTCCAAGAAGTCTTCAAAGCTTGCCACATGTAGAATGCATTGTAGTTGTCCACTTATAAAGTGACTAAGGTATAAGTCATGGGTCTTCAAACTTGGCCCTTTTATGACTTGTGGACGTCAACTCCCAGAATTCCTCAGCCAGGCATGCCTGGCTGAGGAATTCTGGGAGTTGACGTCCACAAGTCATAAAAGGGCCAAGTCTGAAGACCACTGGTATACTGTAAGTGGTCATATAGAATATTTTTCTTTCCAGGAATTTTGCAGCTCTTTTGTAAGATATAATGTCAGAGTAAATTGCACTTTTCTGAATTATGATATGAAAAGTAATACTTTATTCTGTTTTTAAATAATTTCATTTCATTAATAAACATTGTAATTCCATTTACCCAGAGAGATCACTACTAGTGATGAATCCTAATTAACCAGAAAATTTCTGTGGGCAACAATTGAAGGGAAATAGAGTTACTAAGATCAAGAGTTATCTAGGGTTGTTCCTTTTGAGAATGTTTTGTGTATTTTTTTTTATTTCATACATCATGCTAATAGTAATAAAAACACATATCATACATAATACACATAACACTTGGTCATCTGCCACTTGATTTTATCACTTTATTACTTTCACATATAAAGGTTACATGGGCAAACTACATGAACTGTTCCTTGCAGCTGCATTATGTATACTTTTCACTGCCTTGCGGCAAGTTGGCAATCACAACAAATTTTAATAATAATAACAACAACAACAACAACTTGGCTGAACTTTCCGTTTGTTATTTTACAGTATATAGCCAGTAAATCATTTGCAGATGCATAAATCACACGCTGATGTGATTTCTGCATCTGTCTGCAAATGATTTACTGGCTATGTAAAATAACAAACGGAAAGTTTCAGCCAAGTTGTTGTTGTTGTTGTTGTTGTTAAAATTTGTTGTGACTGCCAACTCCAGAAGACTTTGGGCATAAAAAAATTAAAGAACAGAACAATAAAACATTACCACCCAGACTAAAAGGCAAATCTAGCAATAAAGTTTCTGTCATTGAAGTGTCCATTTTAGCCACTGTATGAGCAATTGAATACTGTAAATTTCTCTTTTGCAGGATCACTAGTGCTTGGAGGAATTCTTTACTCCTGGCAGTTCCCTCATTTCAACGCCCTGAGCTGGGGCCTCCGCGAAGATTACTCCCGAAGTGGCTACTGCATGATGTCTGTCACTCACCCTGCAATGTGCAGGCGAGTGGCCCTGCGTCATTGCCTGGCCTTAATTGGACTGACATCGCTGGCTCCCGTCCTTGATGTCACCACGTGGACTTTCCCTGTAATTTCCCTCCCAATCAACTTATACATTTCCTACCTTGGCTTCCGTTTCTACAGAGATGCAGACCGTGCCAGTTCGAGGAAGTTGTTTTTGTGCAGCCTCTGGCACTTGCCATTGCTCATTTTCCTTATGTTAGCCTGCAAGAAGTCATTGGCCAGCGAGGACAAGCCAAAGCCACCCACAACCTGAGATTACCTCATGTTGAAAAAGTCATATATTTTCAAATTAAAGATGGCTTCAGAAGCTTGCCTTCCAAATGGAGAGTTTTGATTAATCATGGCAGATGGAAAAAGTTGGTGTTGATATGGTCTGAATCGTTTCTGTCCAATAAATACAGTGTTTATTATGTTCAAATTAAATGATTTTGTTTAAGGCATATTTGTGGCTCTTGGGTTTGAGTATTGTGACTCTTATTAATTTATTTTATTGCTACCCCACTCCTTCAGAAGATCCCAAAGTACTGCACAGAAAATAGTTTGTAAAGGTAAATGTTCAATAATAGCATAAAACAAGACAAAGAAGTACAGCATAATGCACTTTGTAATGCATTGTACTACATCTTTGTAAAACCATTATACAAAAGTTAATCCCCTTTGTGACAATCAATAGCATATCTGAGATAATGAACATCTGTCTCTAATCTAAGCAATACTTATCCCATATTTGAAACGGCCTACGTTTCTTGAACCACTTTCCTAAGCTTGGACAGCTGTAAACTTCCTACAGAACTCTGCTTTTAATTGATCCCTTTTGTCCTAATAACAATCACGTTGT